CAGGGGAGGGAGGGTGGGAAAGTCCAGGCCTCCTCTCCGGATCGTGGGGAGAGACAGCTGATGTACCAGGAAGAGCGGCTTTTGACCGGCGGGAACTTTCGGTAAGAGAAGCTGAAGCCGGAATCATGGGAGGGGGACAGGAGCCTGAAGCCAGTATCTGCAGAAAGAGTGAACAGCTGCAAAAATAATTTTAGTGGCTAAAAAACATAAAATCTGTGTAAGCTGTCATTACCCAGAGTAAAGACAGAATTGATCGTATAGTTGTTTTTAAAAAAGAGGGTCTAAGAAGGCAGTGGCTGTTTAATTTTTTTTTTTTAATCTTTATGAGAATAGGAGAGACAGATCTTCCATCTGCTGGTTCATTTCCCAGGTGGCCGCCAACAGCCAGCACTGGGCCCCACGCCAAAGCCAAGGGCTTCTTTCAGGTCTCCCACATGGCTGACGCATACACTCATCAGGTAAAATAGAGTATTACAAAAACCAGTGACAGTCACACATGAATTTTATTGAAAATGAGAAGCAAATGAGAGCTAAGGTAACCGATCGGGACTGGCCACCAATCAGGACCAATATTCCTTACCACAGTGTGGCCCCCAGCAGCGGCTTACACAGCTTTTTATAGTATTCTGTCCACTAGGGCCCACAATTTCGAATCAGATCCCTGGTATGCAGTGAACAATAAAAAGGAAAACCAGAATATGGCTGTAAGATAACAGTTAACAACCACAAACCCAATAACAGTGTTGTACCTGAGCGAGAGTAAACAGGGGAGCACCACACATTGATAAGATTCGATGGTCCTTTATTGCCGGTGGTGGAGAGTGGGCTCATGCCCTAAAGAATTCTCAACCCTGAAGCCCAAAGCAACAGGGTTTATAAAGGCAAAAGCTGCAAAATCGGGAGGGGAATACATGGATACTGGGGTCAAGCTGACCTAAAACCCATGTGAAACTAGTATCAATTATAATCTTGACAATACCAGTTACAATCTTAACAATTCCAATTATAATCTTGACATTAATCCATTGGTTTTAATCATGTAGGACATAGACAAGTTACATTTTTATCATTAACCCAGGTGCAGCCTATCCACTTCCAAGCTTGAGCGATCATGTTAGGGGGTTTCTATGCTCTGCCAAGTGTGATGTAGTGGACCGGTATTGTTCAACTGTTTTAGATCATAGTTTCAGACCAGAGTCTCACGGGGCGGGGGGGCACCTTCCCAGAATGGAGTCTCAGGTTCTCCAAAGTGGAGTCCCTACTGTCAAGGTGTTACTTCAACAGATCCAAGATACAGTTGTAAGGTAACAGGGAAGGACACATTTCGGTCAACCTAGTTCCTGGGAATTTGGGCCCACATAGTTTCACAAGATACCCCCTTAGCCTTTGGCGAGCAAAGCTAATATGTACAGAAACAGAGGTCTGCAATTTAGCCACACCCAGTCCATTTTGATTCTGATTTTACAGGCCGGCAGGTGTCCAATCACTCGGGCTGTCTTCTGCCTTTCATAAGCCGTTAGCAGGGAAGCTGGGTTGGAAGTAGAGGAACCAAAACTCAAATCAGCACTTACGTAGCAGTCTGTCGTCACAGGGCTTCGTCACTCACTGCCGCAGCACTGGGCCTCTTCGTGCAGTACTTACAAAAGCAAATCTCTCCCCTCCTCTCTGCTCAGACGCTGGATTATTGTGCCACACGTGTATGATAAAGCTGCAAATCTGGAAAGGGTAAACATATTGTAAGATGACCTCTTGAATGAGGGTTTGGGGGAGGTGGTGTTAGGAAAGGAGGTGCAGATTGGTGCCTCCTCACACGGGGCACCAAAATGTTAGGAAAAGAGTCACAGAATAGAGAGGAGACAGTGCACGAATTCACAGCCAGACCGAATTTATTCAGAGAAAATAAACCCGCAGAGGTGGGTGACCAACTGCCTGCATGTACATGATGGAGCATGTGGGCAGAAGGCCACGACCCCCAGGGACCAGGCCCTTTAAGGGGGGGCTAGGGCTGGGGGTGGGGGGTAGGGGGCAGCAGGGAGGGGAATTCAAGGAACCGGGCATGGGCCTTGGGAACCTGGAAAATAATGCAGGGTGGGGTATGAAGGCAATAGGGTGTGAGGCCCAGTTGAGTTTCCAGGGCAGGGAATACATTGCAGTTTATCTCCTCTGGGCAATGAGGGAGAATGGCCGAGGCTTATATCCTTGTCCCCTCAGGGTGGGGTTGGAC